CTGTAGAGCAGTTCATTGCCATCTTTATGATAGCCCCTCTCATACTGGATGACTGCATTTAGATCTCCTGTCTTCTCAAGGTCAAATGACTTAAACTCTTGCAGCCTTTCCTCACAGGTGATATTGTCTGTAGCTCTGCTCATTCTTGTTGCTCTCCTATGGCTTCCTGTTGCTCCACCTACTTTCTGAAATGCAGTTCTGAAAATTGGGCAGAGCATTCAACCGAGCCCTTGCTGGGGCTGAAGCGAGTGGAGGGATTGGTTATACCCCTCTTGATCACTATACAAACACCTAGAAATCCCCTGGTCTTTCCCTGAAATTGATACCTAACGAGCTGTTCCCTACATCTGGGGAAACATGTTGCCTACATTTGGGTAGCTAACAGGTTTTGCTTTTGCGTGAAGCTTTGCACTTATCCTCACTGAATTGCTTCTTTTTATTAATCTTTTACTATTATTCCACCATGTTAAAATCCTTTCGAATTATAAACCTGTTGGCCAGAAGGATTTAATGCAAGATTTCAATTCTACAAAAGCAGTATAAACAGGAATCAAGAGCTTCCAGGAAAGAAAGATATGACTAATTATCAGAAAAATATTTATTGTGCAATTATAAATGTCTGCCCAGACTGGAGGGGTAGGATGAATTAAAGAGGTGATTACCAACCTGATTACCAGGGAATGGAAGGCATTAAGGGATATGGATAATGCCAGGAGAAGGTTAAAGTTTAGGTCACATACGAGAAGTGAAAGGACTAGAAAAAAATTCAACTCCAAAAGAAAAATCAAATGTATAACAAGCCATAGTATCAGAAGCAGGAAACACAGCCAGAGAATTTGACTAAAGCCCAACATTTACAACACTTTTTTAACCTCATCTGTGACCCACAGAGGCCCCAAGGGAAAATGTTGACTTCTCCCAGCTCATGTGTTACAAAAGCTCATTATATTTAAAGGAAAACCTCCCTGGGAAGCTTATTTAATTTAACATCACGGTTCAAGTGAATGGATGGGAAGATAAACAGAGATGGGGATTGCTGGCAGGCAAGTAAGGTGGCCCAGCTTTCAAACTGCTGCAGAATTTATTCACTGTTAAAAAATGAAGTTCTTATAGGTGTCCTTCACATGCAGTTTGGAGTCAATCATCAGTCTCAGCTGGCTTTGGGGCATAACTTGGAGTTAAAAAGAGAAGGAAAAAAAATTCTGGCAGAAGTCCTGAGGACACTTGTCTTCTTCACCTAACCAGATACCAATAAGGCTTTTAGGATAAATCAGCAATTAACTAATTTCTGGACTCAGCTGGATGTGGACTAATGGATCAGTGCAAAGAGGCCAAGGTAACCCAGGGAGATATTTAATTTTGTCTCATTCAATTCTGTGCAGAAAGGCAGTGTAGCAGGCAGCAGCCACTCGTGGGGAGGATGGAGGTTGATTCTCAGGAGTCTCTAAGTACAGTTCTCTGCTTGACACACAAATTGGGAAATGGGATTGTAATCTGATGCATGACACTTTTGAATAATTAGATGTGAGAAATTCAGCATGCACAACAGATGAAGCTGCCAAAAAATGAAGGGGGGGAAAAAAACGGAGAATTTCCACAGTCCATTTTTGATAACATGGAAAAATGGATCATGAGATGAACTACAGTAAAAATATAGTTAGCCAGAAAGTAGTCTCCAAAATGCCATAAATGCACAGATTTCATGCCACATGGTAGAAGGAAGTGAACAGAGGGCACAAAGGTTAGAGGTAGAAAGACAAGCAGCTTTTTAACTTGTGGACAATTAATAGTGAGAGTTCTACTAGCAATAATAACATTATCTATGAAGTGCAGGAGAAAGGTTGAGAGTGGATTAAATTATCAGTGCAGACAGAAAAAGCTGAGGAAGAAAGAAGCTAAAATTTGTCCAACTAATTAGCCTTGAATGGAGAAGGTGACATGGAAAAATGCACCAAAAATGTGTGAACGCTGGCTGGAAGCTGGATGTCCAAAACACAAGCAGAGAGGATAATGAATTGCCTGGACTTAAGGTAGATAATAAAAACACACTTGGTAACACAAGAGGGTCTTACAAAAATGGGTGGCAGATGTACACTGGTCTCAAGAGAACCAGCTGACAGTGGCTGGTTCCAGTAGAGATGAGCTGACCAGGCTGGGGACGTTTCCCAGGAAGGCAAAGAACAGGACATGATTGAAATTTATTTTAAACCCCAGAAATGCACTCTCTACTAAAACTATTGCAGAATGGCAGAAAGAACGGATTCCATTCCACTCCCTGAATGTTTCTGACAACCTGCTAATACCAAAAGGAAGTATGCCAGCCAAAAGTGAGCCTGTGAGCCAGGGAACATAGTAAATGTTGGCACAGAATGAGGCAATACAGGTGGGAAGGAGGAATGAAATCCCAAAACATTTCTGGGGCTTCTTCTGGTATGGTACTATATAATTTAATGTGGTGCAGCAGAATATTTGAAGGGAATGTCTGGTTTGTCTTCCATCCAGATGACTGCTGATACGCCTTGTCCAACTGAGGAATGACATAAGACAAAACTTCAGGTTAGATGAGACTTCAGGAGGTCTCTAGTCCAACTTCCTGCTCAAAGTAGGGTGAGTTGTGAGGTCAAAACCAGGTTACTCAGGGATTTGTCCAGACTGGTCTTCTAATGGTGAAGTGAGAGAAGATGTTTTAGGCCATTGAGAAAATATATCAGGAAGCTGCAATACAACCTTGAACCCATTCTGTGGCCTCCTTTTTAAATCAGATTAAACAGGAAATGAGAAGAACAGGTTTTAACTCCCCAAACGTGAAAAAAGTTTACTTTTAAGGGCCCTTTCTCAATTGTTACCACGAAGAGATGATGTCCTGGATGCTCTAGCAGATTCAATCTCTTAATCTAGTCTCAGTTTTGAAAAACAGACATTTTTTCCTCCTCATGTGTAAAATGTCTTGCTCACATAAAATCTGAGACCAGTACTTGAGGTGTGGTTATTATCAAGTAGGACCAACGTTCAAGATCAGTCATGCCATCCCACAGTGGTGTGTGGACACTGGAAGATTTGCAAGCAGGGAAGTATTGGCCATGTCATCCATGCAAACACCAGCAAAGAGCTGTGCTGTTCCATTTCCCCCAGACACTGAGTTAAAGTATGTTCAAATAGCCCTCCTTCTCCACTACTCCACATGGCAGATGAAGAGATTTACAGGTGATCTAAGGGAACATTCAGGCCACAAAAGACACACCTGAAATTAAACCCAAAGACAGAAATCAGTTCAAAAGGGGCTATTATTGTGTTCAGAGAATCAATTAATGAAATTTCTGCTCACAAAGGATATCTGAACCTCAGTACAACCAGTTATTTCCCTCTCCCCATCTATTCTGAGATTTCCCATGTTCATTGATCAGTACTTTTGCAGGGTTTTGCAATTCAAACAGAAGTTTTGTTTCTTGCTCTCCCAGTACTTCTTCAAGGGTTATGAGAAAAAGGGAATCATTCTAGAGAGTAAGAGTTTTAAGGATGGAAAAGGGCTTTTATGGTTGTTCCTGTTCGAGCCTAACCATGTTTTAAAGTCCCTTCCAGGTAGAACCAAAATAACCTGAAAAGGTGGTCTTTTATTATAATAAGAGTCTTGAGTTCTCTGGTGTGAAATTATTGTGCTGCCCAAAGGAATTCCTGGCAGTCATCACATACTGAGCTGTTTCACCTGTATTTATTTGGGAGGAAATCTGTGGTCAAGACTGGCCTTGCTTCCCTATAATGGCTCTTTACATTCAGAGCTTGCTTAAGGGTTTGGAAAAACTGCTCTGCCCAGATTTTATAGTTACACATAGATTAGCACACAAGTGTGATAAAAGTGATGCCTTGTGGAGAGGACCTTGCTGGGAAATGATTGCAAACATTACTCTTTCTCAAGTGGAGAAAGTTTCTCAGTTTCTTTACTGGAGAATCAGGAACACTGGAAAGATATATTGAGTTCACAGTATGCATCCTGCAAGTTGTGGGGACACAAACTGCACCAAGTCTTGAGATCTTGGTCAGCAGCCATCCTTCCAAAATTATGCCAGTTTGCCTTTTGTTCTCACACCAGTGCACGCAGAATGACCCCTTGGACACGTGTGAAAAAGTGGTGCCTTATTGCTTGGTCCTCCTCCTTTTGTTAGCTGACTCTTTGGAAATTTAAAACCATGAAGAAACTGTGACACAAGGAGAATAAAATATTAACTTTGCCTGCTGTATGACAACCTCTACAAAGTGCACATGTCTGGGGAACTGTGACTGACAGTCTTTTGTGAAAGGTTGTGTTTGAAAATTTGTTCTGTACGGTGACCTCTGCATTTCTGTAGCTTCATATTTGAACAGATGTCAATTCACACAAGTGGATTGAGGTTCTTTTTGTTCTTAAGCATGTTTTTGTTATTTGTTAGGCTGAAGGGTGTTCCTAGTGTTGTTCAGGACTTGAAAAAAATACATCTAGTTTAAAAGTAGGCATCCTAAGAAAAATACACAAGGTGGAAATCAGCTGGGAATGTAGAAAAAAATGATGACTTCCTCCATATAGTGGGAAGGTCAGGAATGCAGCCTTAGAGGAACTGGGCTTAATTAGCACAGGCCTCCCGAAAACAGTAGGTCTTCAAGAGGAGTGGAACACATGAGACAGCAGAACAATTCACACTTGTTCAATGCCACTGCAAACACGGAAGGCTTGAAAACAGCAAAAAGCATAAGAAAATTTGTGCAGCCTCTTCTCTGTTGGAAAGGTGGAATCAGGCCCTCTGCTCACATGACCTGGCAAAGTGTCACAGCCACCCAGGCTGGACCCCCCAGCCGAGGAGCTGCCCCTCATTAATATGCAGAAGGTTCTGACTTCACTTACATGATCACTGCCAATTTTATAACTATAAGAATCCATTTTTAGAAACGACTGATTCACTTCAGCTGACAGGTTATGTATGATTAATAAGCAACATAAGAAAACAATGTTTAATAGTTTAATGCCTTTAAGTAGAATGCAAAATTATTTAATTGTACAAATTAAAAATACTGAAAAGTCTTTGTAGGCATAAATTTCTCAAATTTAAATTGTGTTACTTTGATAATTTGATGTCTAATGGTGAAACATACTGAACACCTCTTAAAAGTTTTGTGTTTGACTTCGACTTCTAAATAATTAGCAGTAGACTTTGAGGACAGCTTCATATTCCACAAGCATGGAGACAGAATTTGTAAAACAGTAATGTTATGAAACAAGCTCATTTAAAGAATAAACTCTATAAAAAACCAAATTATCAATAAAAAATCCAAACATTAGAGTAAAAGCCCAAATCCTTAGATGCACAAGGCTAAATCCTAAAATTTATCTAGACAATATTTAGCATTACATAAGTAATAAAAGTAATAAATTAGACAAAACTGTAATACTTCCTCTAAAGTATGCTGAGATTACAGTGTGCAAATTGAGTTTGAAATTAACTCAGTTGACAACAATCTGGTTATTTTTATTGCATTTAGGCTTCTAGTTTTGTTTACTTGTTTTGCTCCAAAATTCTAGCTAAAAATCAAGTTCATTTCCAAAGAACTCTTTTTCTAACTCTGGGGAACAGGACATTTAATATGTTGATGAACACCAAGCATCTGCATTCTACTCACAAAATACAAAATAAGCTGAATACAACAGTTAAGCATTTGCTGATACAGTTAAAATAGTGCCAGTGTAGAAGTATTTTTACACAAGCACCTCACAAAATATTTAACATTAAAGTCTAAACATCCCTCTAACTCAAATATATTTGTGATGTTCCCAAAGGGTTAATATTGTCTTGTTTCATTTCTTGCATGTAGTAATTTAGCTCTGAACAAAAGCAGCTCCCCGCTGGTTACCTTGGCTAAAGGAAACACAATGAACTGGTAAAAACCAGTTTTATCTCACTGCTGTTGCCTAGGGCTACAGACAAAATGAAGTAAAAAAATTCACATGCAGAGTATTAGGTGCTTATGAAAGATCCAGCAGCGCTGTTGCCTAGTGATTCAGTGAGGAATCAGCACAGGCCAATGAGGTGTTCGAGTACTGAATAACATCCCTGATGGCTGCTTTACATCTCCTGCAATTCTGTCATACACCCCCATGATTTCCCAGTGGTGAGAATCACTTTCAAGGGAACCTGTCAGAATAAAAAAAAAAAAAAAATTTAAACAAACAAACACATCACAAATAGCAAGATTACTATTTTTGCTTTTCCCTTTGGATGTTGATACTGCTCTAGATTACATACCTATCCATCATGCAATGTTCTTCATTTCTATTAATACTCAATCATTGCAACAGTTTTGATTAAAATACCTTAACAATTAAGACTAACCTTTAGTTTTGAAATTGCAAATACATGTTACTGAATTGTAAGGAATATGCTAACGCAAAATTCATCTTATCATGCTTTTCAAAAGAGCTACAAAATCATCATGATGATTTTGATGTTTATCATCAGCAATTTTGTCAGTAATGCATAAAGATACTATGGGTTTTTTTTTTACCACATACTTTTCAAATTCTGGGGTATTTTTATTGTTGCTTTGGTTTAATTTCAGTTTGTTTTGCAGTTCCTGGTGCTCTGGTACACAGTAGATTTGCTGACATGAAAGCTGCCTCATTAGCAAGGACTCTATTTTGGAAAAAAAGCTACTTCAAAGATAAAGCATTCTTTACCTCAAAGAAGAAAAAGAGCTCTCTCCCCATTAAGACTGTATGTGTGCTCTACTTTAGTGACATTTTGTCTCCATATTAAAAAATAATATTCATATTAACAGAGCACATAACACATATTTAGTTGAAGTAAGTCTGCTGAAGGAAAGCAGGAGCATTTCACAAAAACCTTTTCATCTTCAGCATCTCTAATCCTTAAAGACATATTCTTACTGTATAGAAGGGTAAACAACATGAATAAAAATACAGACTTCTTTTTAAAAGATCACTCCCAATTTCTTCTCTGAGATCAAGCTGTTGGTATGTTATGTTATCTATCTGGCCTCTGTCATTGATCTCTTTGTATGCTTCAGAGGAAGATGAAGTATCTTCATGATGCATGTAGTCTAGCGTGCTGTAGGAGTAAAAGTATGTCAGGACTCCTACAGTAATTTGCTCAGGAAAAGAAGACCAAACAAGGGTAATGAAATGTATCTCTCTGAATACTTCTCCTGCCTACTAAAAAGTCCTGATCTTTGAAACCCCCAGAGAGCCACCTATTGTCCAAGAATGCTTCCTTTCACCTATTACAACATAGCTGGAGTTTTAATTTAAACAGAGAATTATTGTTCTGATAGGAATGGCATACTGAATCCATTTGCTAATGCATTGGGATGAATTTGTCAGTGTGTGACAGTAAAACACCTTAGAAAGAGGGGAGTAAGATGGTTTGTCTCATTTTGTCCATAGGACATTGAAACCTTCTGCCAGCTAATGGTTAGTCTGAAACATGTAACACGAAAATTATACTCTGCCCATGTAATTTTGAACATTCTCAGTAACCATGTAAACATTTGTCTTTCTTAGAAACCTATTAAAGTGTTCATATTTATTTCATGGCCATGATTTCCTCAGGCAAAGTATGCACGTTGCTGCCTGTCAAAAAGCTACCAAAAAGTCTTCTAAGGAAGAACTATAGTGTTGCTATTCAATTTATATGTCACCAATAATACCATATTTATTTTTATGAACTTTATAGCAGTGTGAGTGTAAATACACGCTTTTAATTACAATTAACAATATTTAAACGTAGTAAGGTAATTAAAATATTTATGTGTAGTATACCTTGAAAAACACTCTTGCTTCTCTTTTTTCTTTTGAGGAATTTGTAACAAAAGAAGCTAGGCAAACACAGGTGTATAATGTAATCAACCTATAGAAACGCAGTTTGTAAAGCTTGGGAGTGTTTTCTATCAAGCAACAAAAGCTGAGCAGTAGGCAAGGTGAAGGGTACCAGTAGGGAGAGAAATATAATTATTTTATAAAATAATTACAATTAGGTTCAATACATAGATAGATAAAATAGCTATTTACTCAGCTATTTACTCAGTTTTTACAGATGTTGGTCTGATAGATGATGTCCTCTACTTTGACCAGTGACCAAGGATTTTGTCTGCTTTGTCTGTTAGGCACCCACACGGAAATGTTAAATAGACCCCTTTTCTAAGTGAAAATTACTGAAGAAAGATCTTTTGCAATATTTTTTCAACAGTAACAAATGCCTGGCACATCTAGAAAGCCTGTTAAAGGGACATATTTTTCACTCTACCACACCCAACATGGCAAAGTTTCATGGCAATGAATGAAATAGATTTTGAAATTACCATACTGCATTGCTAAGACAATCTCACTTTCCAAAAGGGAGGTTGACTTTCTTTCAGTTATTTTCCCTTAGAATTGTTACAGTAATTTTAAAAAGCAATTACCCACAAATATGAATATGAAACAATTGAAGTGGAAGGCAAAATAGTTTTTGCTAGATTCTTGACATGATGATAACGTACAAGGCTAAGCATGCCTGAGACAGTAATGGAAATTCAGAATTATCCCTACCTTTAGTGGCACTTCCAAGGCTGTTGTTTGCTGCAGGGACTCCATTGTTCTTTTTACCAGTGCTGTAAGGTTAATTTGAAAACCTACAGCTTTATTTTTCATGTTAGCATTGTTATGTACATATATATAAAAAAATGACATGCTTTATATTTTCTTATATAGTACTTGCATTTCTGCGTAAAAAAAAATTTACCATTTACAACTTTGTCAGATTATTTTTAAGTTATATTTTATCTCTTATGGAAGCTTCGATTTCTTATTTTAAACTGAATTTTACAGTAAAATTTGCAGAATTATTTAACTTCTATATCCCATACATAAATAAGTACAGCATTAATATATTTCATATAGAGTACATCAGCACGTATGAGTGCTGAATTTCTCATCTTTTAAGTTCAGTACTCATAACTATATGTTTGGTTACATTTTATACATTTTAATTTTTTTGTGCGGCCATAAAACTCAATTAAAAAGAAAAGAAAAAGCTAGGGAAAAAAACCCACTAGAAGTCTGGACTTTTTAAAATATCTTATTCTTCAAAGTAAAAAGATCAGAGCCAAATTTTAAAAAAATCTTCCCTGTGGGATAGTGGAGCTCTCAAGCATCTTAAACAATTAAACTTCAGTATAATTCATGTAACTTAACAACTCATCATGCTGTAACACTATGCTCACTATTACTGTGCAAATTCATCTATAATTATTCCAAATCAATCACTTGGGATCAGATTTGTCACCACTGGTCCTGCTAATTAGTGTTTTGGTTGACAAAGATTGCTGCTGCAACACATATTGTTCTAATAAAAATCAAAGAGAGATTGAGTGGATAAAGTTTTTTAAAAAAAAAGTAATTTTTGGCTAGTGAAAGTGAAATAGGAATACCAGGCGGCCCCAGAACACAAGATATGGAGCAACCTCCACTGCTCTGACAGGATGGATGACTAAATAATGGATGTGGTCATGTGCCTCACAGAAGTGAGGGATAGCAGGGAATGTTATACGAGGTGCTGGAGTGAAACCCACGTGATTACTGAGAAGCTTCCTTTGAAGTTATCCCCTGATGCACATCATGGCTCTCTGGTAGCTGAGGCTAAAGGCAAAGGAGCAACAAGAACTCTAAGAAGCTGTGTATGGTTGTTGTTCTGGCTGCTGCCAAAACCTCTCCTAATGATGCCAGCAATGAAGAGCAGCATGTAATGTTTGGTGTCACATGGGTGACACTGAGGATGGCTTGCTAATAATGATGAGGATAACGAGCTTCTGCCTGAACAGAAGTGCAGGGCTCAGGCCGTGTTGGCTCACTCAGACTTGCGTGCTAATGAGCTGTCACGAGCTTTTCCATCAAGTCCAAATTATGCAGGAACTCAAAGGATCAGCGGCTCAAATGCCAAAGCTGAGGACACCAAGACATTTGTTGACACATCTATGTACAGCTACACCTATATATTTGCTTCACGTTAGATTTGAGGTAGTTCATGGTCCAGTGTAGGACACAGCATCATTTTTGGAGCGCAGAAACAAACATTGGAACCGCAGACTGTGAAGGGAGAAGTGCTGGCCTAAATAATTACCCATTTGAAATCCAGTCCAAGTCAACATGGCTATTAATAGAAGAGTGTTGGACTGAGAAGCCCACTCTGAATTTCAACAAGCTGTTGGCTCCAGGAGGTCAGCAACACAGCAGATGCTGGGGCACCCCAGCCAGGTGGGATGCCTTCAGAAGGCTAAGTGGGTGGCCAGTAAGTCCTGGATAAACACTTTTTCCATCAGTAAGCTCCCTATCAGGCTGCATGAGAAGTGCAGAACCCAGGTGTTATCCTCTCATAGCCTGCATATGCACTGAGTTAGACCAGTTTTCCCCTAGTTCTCTAGACCTCTGAAGCTGACTACTTCTCTCCCGTTCAACTGTTATCCCCAAAAGGGGATTCATGATGGTAGCAATGATTGCAACAGCTTTCTCTGTTGGTTGACAGACTTTTCGCTCTAAGGCATCTGGCACAGTCAGAATTCTGCTGCATTCTTAACTGCTCTTAATTTTAAAAAGCACAGATTAAAATGGCCACATCAGTGAACAAACCCAATGGTTCCTCATTCACTTTGACAGCCATTAAAAACCTCTCCACGGGTCTGCTCCATTTTCTTCATTCCTTTTCTCTGTGTCAGTTTGGCTCCCTGTTCTCTTTCTCATGTCACACTGACTTCTTCTCAACCCAGAGTTTAGTGGGTGGCATAGTAAAGCCATTCATTTCAAGCAATCTGAGTTGTTGTGCCTGCATTTCAGCCTTCTGAAATCACACCTTTGCAAATATACAAAAGATGTACCTACATCTACTTTACCACAGATTTTGAATGAAATAATAAGTATATAATAACAGAAACATCAAGAAAAGGCAGCTGGATTGCCACTCATGTTCAGTCGTCTGCTACAACAGTAAACAGGGGAGAAGGAAGCATTTAAACTAAATTACAGTCTTTGCACAAAAATAAATAGGTATAGTGGCTGAATACATTTAGGCTGGAAATTTAAAGTTCTAGATTTTAGAGAGATGAAATTCTGGAATAGTCCCTAGTGGGAGTAATTTTTCATATG